TTTACATGAAAAGAGAAACAAATTAAGTTTGAGTGAAAATGTAAATTTTTTGCACTCTCTGGTCAACTGACTCAGTGAATCAAATGACTCAAAACATCCGATTCACTTTGGTGAGTGACTCATTAAAACCCGATTCAGTAAAAAGAATCAAATTTACCATCACTAGTACCAATGTGAACCGAGTGGGAATCAATAAGAGAATTGATTGAACTGATAAGTTGAAATTCTTCTTTTCCCCCATCTAATGGGAACCCTGATTTACAGAATGAGTGTACCCTAAGAGTTTAAACTAAAAAAAAGTTGATTAGGTAAGTGTTTATGTCTTTTGAGTCTGGAAATCTGTTTCTTTTTAAACTCAGAAGTGTCACTCCACGCTGGCCATCAGACAGAGTGCATGTTTAAGTCATGTGTCCATCTTCTATATACTTTCTATAGTGTCATTTAGGAAATAGCAGAACTACACTCATGGATGCTCATTACTTTGCCTACAGCACTGACTGCAGTGCAGCAAAGTGACAGGTACACATTTATGAGCCAGTTTTATAGTCAGTTTAGTTTGAGGTTAGTTTGCAGTGTTATCGCTGCACTGCTTTTTGCATTTTCCTAAAAAATAGATTTAAAGGGACACATACACAGCTGAATACAGGGACAGTGCTGGAGCAACAGCTTTTCTCCTCGGGGAAATCACTGTCAGCGAGGTTGTTTCAGATCTGAACAGTGTTGCTTTGTTGGCAGCTGCCTCAGATCACTCTGTAACGCTGCAGCTGGGCCTGAGAACAATTTCTAAATGAAGTTACTGCAGGATATTGTTTCATCTTGTTCTGTGCTCACAGAGTAATACATCTTCTCCTTCCAAACCATGAAGGATGAGAGTTTGTTACACAACTGCCATCATGTCTTTTTGTTCGGATGAACACCGCAGGAAGCTTTTTTTCTCGCGGATGTGCAAAAAGGTGCAGCACTTTAAAATGTGATTAGACTTTTCACTTCCTGCTCAGTGTTACCAAAACTGCTTCCATGGTTTCTGTCAGAGCTTGGTGAAAGGATGATCTATACCATGACACTATAGATTTATCAGCCAGCTAGGATTTAGTTACAGCCTTTATTTCATATATCATATATATATATATTAGGGATGCAACGATACAACAAAATTCACGGTTCGGTTCGATACTTTGGTGTCACGGTTCGATATTTTTTCGATACAAAAAAA